ACGTACGTGATTGCAATTAACAGCACTATCGAGGTTCTTCGATATTTGCGAAAATATAGAAGCAACGTATTATGAACGAGCGAAGATCGATAACAATGCGAAACAAACTTTCGAAATTAACGACGATGAACAAACGTCAAAACGTTTCCCTGTGTTTCAACAAATTTCCTTGATACAATTGTCGAAATGCAGTTACCACGGTGCTCGTGAAATATTCACGCTCGCAATGGCTCGATGAGAGATCGCCAATAACTAGTTCACTCGACAAATCACGCCGAGCGTGAACGATGTCTAACGCGAGTGTTGATAATAAATTAGCAGTCGCATATGCGTTTGCAGATTATTTTCGTTACCAGCTAAATAGCAAGCGTTCAGGAATATTTAGAGCGTACAACAGCGTGCATCTCGAGCGATCAGATCTCTCTAATTGAGTTTCCAACGTTACAGCACAGAAATCAGTAAATCATATACATCGTTCGACACATTTTTACGAAATAGAAATAGATATCTTGATACGTGATAGTTAGACGTTGAGCAAAGGTTACTTAACATGATCAATACCGTAAGAAATGTAACATTTTGATGAATATCCTCAACATCGTTCGATCATTCTAATTGCCGTGATACCACCGTAACGAAATATACTGTTTCTTATTTTCTTTCGTTTAAAGTTTCCGTTTGACATCGAACGCCTTCACTTTAAAACGAACGCCTTTTCTCGGTTATGCTTATGAACGATCGTCATCTCGTACGGTATGGAGCATGCCTCGCTGAAATTATTTCAAGTCGGCTACGACATAATCAAACGGAAAAGGAACATAACACCTCACGCAACTTGCAACTCATCAACGAATAATTTCAACAAGAAGAACTTACGATTTTTTCGTCGCGTTCGTTGTGTAAGAAAGAATATTCTTCGTTTCTTTTTTTCAGTTTCCTTCTCGAAGAGTATTGTTTCACACAACAACATCGCCGCGCTTTCAGATTTTCAAGACAGTTGGGATACGCAGTGGATAGCAATAAAAGTAGTATTGATAATACAATAGTTCAACATCCTCTATCTTCGTGATATACACATGAAAAACTCGAGGGTACGATCTCGGCGTGTCATTTTTTTACCTACATACGTGTACAGATTCGTGTTGCGACATCGTTCTTCGGTGTTCGATGTTCGAAGCGAAACGGCAAACAAATCTCGGTAGCTCCTACGCGATCACGCATATCGAATCTCATTTTTATCTACGGACAGACACACTCTCGAGAAACTTCGCAGTTCGCCCAGTTTCATTGGGAAGGAATGGGAACGGGAGGATACGTTTCAATCGCAATCCGTGAACGTTGAAGATTTCACCGGCGAGCTTTGAAATGAAAATGTGTTCGTCGAAAGCGAAACGCGGCCTTCGTTTCTTCTGAACGGATCGACCGTGCAACGTTCTCCCAAGCTTTTTACACTTTTTCTTTGTCGCGTCTCGGGACTCGAAAAGACAACGTAGACGAGATTATTCTAACTGCGATGTATAGCTAGCGGAGGCAACACCTAAAAAAAACACGAGAATCTTGTCCTCGAAGATACAAAAGTCGCGCGTGAATGATCATCTTTCCTACACGAACTGCCCGTCGTCTTTCGATGGGCGATCTACGATTGTTCAGTCTCTCTGGGGGGGGAGGAGGAAATTTGTTTACCGAAAATACGTACATTTATGTGTATTTATATAATGAATGTAACGTGTGACGTTGACGTTAAATGTTTTGTTGCTGATTACACACAAAGAACAGGATGATTTACGCGGTATATTCTTTCAGTGGGAGGTAGAGTCGCGAGCATAAAATTAACAAAGCATCGCTACTCTCTCTCTCTCTCTCTCTCTTTCTCTCTCTCTCTTTCTCACGTATTGTTATCATTATGTTTCTCGAATTGCTAAGTGTATGATTATATATATTATATATAAACCAGTGTTCTTTGTGCACAGTACAAAGTACGTATATAAGTCGAATTCCGTTACCGCGCACCAGTTGGGGGATTAATAACTTGAATAGTTAATTATACATAGTCCAAGTACATTTACATACACAGCTTTATCACATATTATTCGAAAAACTCGTGTTACTTGCACGTGAATTGTAACAATTTCGATATGGATTATATTATATATATCGTATTCTTTAGTCAGGTATGCCTGGGTGACACTCTTCGCGGTGTTATCTCACATTCTCGACGTCGAATTTTCAGGTCAGAAGCGTGTTTTTGGCAAGTGAAATTCCTTTTTACGAAGAAGAGAAAAAAAGACGAGGTGACACAATGTATTGAAGTACTGAAATAATAAAATTATACAGAGTAATATTGTGTTTAATGATACGTGATACAATAATTTATATTTGTCGCCGATCGTTTCGACTACGTTTGAGACGAAGGATACCGTCGAGAATATTGAAACAACGTCGAGGAGTACGATGGTACTGACGAATGAATTTATAGTCATATATTCGTGTCAACGTTCCATGAATGGTGCTCTGTTGCCTCGAATAAATCAGCGCAATAAACGTAAGCCTGAACGAAAAGTGTAGCTGTGATACAATTTTGCACACCTGTAACAACGATTTTATCAACGACTCTTATCAATAACGATATTAATGATTCCATCTTGGTTGCATTACTCTAACGTAACTTCACTGTTAGAACTTAATGGACGACTTCGTTCGTTTAATTTCGTTAAGCAATTTCGACAATCACCTAAGTATAATATCATTGTACAACAAATTGCAACTTAGTCGCGTAATAGGACGTAAAATGGATTTTGTTTTTTTTAAGTTCTCTTCCAAATTTACCGAAAGGAGGAAAGTTTCGAAATTTTTTTCACACTTGTGTACAAGTTTAAGCGACTGAAATGAAGTGATTGAAAAACAAGCGTTATAAATCAGTGCAACTTGTGCATGTTCATCGTCCCTTAAGTATTAACAAAAATAAAATGGAATAAAGCGTTTTCTATTTATACATAGTCTAAATATGTCGCAGTCGCATTCCCTAATGCACATTCTAAACACGCTATCCAGTAGTGCTTGCTTATATACTTCGACTTGTTTCATGTATATTTCATGTATTCATCTTTCCTTCCTAGTATTATATTTCATCATGTGTGTGATATACGGAACAGAATGCGTTAAATACATCCATGAAGAAAGTATAAAATTCATTGAATTTTATTTCTTTCCACTGTTTTCTAATTTCCTTCCGTCAGTAATTATCAAATAAATATTTTCTAGGAATCTAAAGACTACGCAGTTTACACACAAAATTTACAGAAAGAATAGCAGTCACTTGTGGAAAAAAATGGAACATTTTTGAACGATTGTGATTTTTTTTTTTTTTTTTTTTTTTTCTTTAAATAAAGAATCATAAATTAACGTACAAGAAATGTAACCATTCAATTACAACAGCAAGAAAAGACTAATATCAATTTGTAAAATACGCAGAAGTAAACGCTCGATAACGGAGAGAAGTATATAATGAAATTTCATGAAACAACGTACCACTCGCTAATAAAATTATAGTTGATATCAACCGAAGATTAATTCGACTCTTTGGACGAGGCCTTCTAAATTATTTGAATTAAGCGTGACATTAGGTCATTTGGTTAATATTCGTTCTGGCACACACGTCTTCAATTCCCGCGAGTTGCTACTTATTCGCCACCGTGTAATATATGTATGCATACTCTCGAAGCATCCAAACAGCAAAAATCTCGATTACACAATAATATACCGTATTCATGAATAACACATAATATAATACGATTTTACAGTCATTTACTTCTTTCACTGTTTGTTCACTGGTAAATGATATATTGACAGCGCCTGGCGTTTTCTATGACATAGTTATTACACTATCAGTGTAATAATAATAATAATAATAATAATAATGATAATAATAATGATAATAATAATAATAATAATAATGATAATAATAGTAATTGTAATAGCGATGTAACAATGTTATAATTATAATAACTACCATGAAATAATACAGATAGAAATATATACAGCATGCGTAATACGTTGTCGTTGTAAAGTTATATGATTATAATAGTAAAAGTAAAGATAGACGCAGCCCTTTGTGTTTGATTCGAATGATTTCATGCTGTGCAAGATTATTCGGAGGCAAACACGGACCTACGCTTTATCTGAACACCTTGTTTCTTTGGGACGTACTAAGACCGAAGGCTGAATCAGACGGCATTCTCACAAACATTATTGGAACGGTTCATTTACGCTACTACAACATAATAAATACCATTCTTTGCTATTCGTACCCTTTATTCATCATCATTTGTTCACTAAATCCAGATTCTATTGAACAAAACCAGAAATTTTAACTTGGTTTCTATTTTATGATTATTTAAAGAAAGGCAACATGTTAATCAGTAACTGATCTTTCTTACACGCAATAACAACATATTGGAAAAAGACTAACGTATGGTAATTTCCTTTTTAATAATTGTTGTATATCATATGCCTTGTGTATTTCTATCAACGTTTATATAGCCAGAATGTTTTCTCTTTTATGTCGCTTGCTCAATGCCTTCTGGTAAATATGCATTGGCAAAGAGTTAGAGCATCATGCATAAGACATCGTTTATAGTGCAGATCAAACAAACAGAAACGTTACACTCCACTGCTTTTCGCAAATGTACAGATGTATATCTTATATATATATATATATATATGTATGTATATATATATGTATGTATATATATATATATATATATATATATATATATATATATATATTAAAGTGTACTTCATATAACGATGTTGAGGATCTTTTATCTATTCAAATGTTGATAATCATTTATATTACTATTCCCCACTTTGAACTCACGGAATACGTGTACATAACATTTTTTTTATTGTCAATCCAATAATCTGCCATTATATTTTGCTTTTATACATGCTAATTTAACATTAGCGATAGTGTACAACCAACTACGAGTATATAAGTAAGTGTCATTATCTTAGAATTCGATATTGCAAGGCAATGATTAATCTTTCTTCCATCCCTTTTACTTTTTTTTTTTTTTTACAAAATCGATTTCTCTGTGATAAACCAGAGTATCGAAAAGAGCGCGCGATTTAACGTAATTTTTTTTTTTATATATATATATATATTCAGATAGTATTCAATGCATCGATAGGTTTGGTTGTAACTATGTAGCTGAATAGTCAAATGTATCCTGTGTCAAATGAAAACCAAAAAGATCTTTTCCAAAATTAAGTCCATATACGGTGAAATGTTTCTTGACATTGCATAATTAATATGCTTCTACAAATTGTTAGATACGCGTATGCTTGATTCAATTTCTGTCTCTTTTTTTCTTTTTCTAAATATCATTTTGTTTTCGTGTCAGCGATCATGATATGCTAAATAGTATTAAAAATAAGCATTACAGTTTTACGCGGTTATCTTTCATAGCCTTCATTAGCACAGATCTCATAGTTATTAATAATAAATTAACATATCATATATCCTTCAGTTCTGATTTCGTTATTAAGGTTCGTAAAGTCGTTGTGCCCGAAAATATATGTATATATGTATATATATATATATGTTTCAATTCAATCAAATAAATCAAACAAAAGGTGCTTTTTTTACCGACATAAAGTTTATAATTTCCCGGATTTTTCTTGCTTACTTAGTTCAAGGGCTAAAGCTAATTCCGCCTCTTCTTGCTGTTTACGTCTACGCCTTTCCTCCTCGGTCTTTAAACTTTGTTGAGATGCCCAAACAAATTGTTCCTCCTCGCTTAACGAGAGAGGTGTGTTATTGCCGTTCCAAATTCTGCCCATCTCACTTTTCGATTTTTTATCGTTAAAACTAGTTTTAGATCTATTGTGTGCTAAATCTTGTCCGTGTCTCCTGGCAGACTTTTCAGTTTTAGTGGAAAATGCTTCATCTATATCGGTCGTTTTTATCTTGATGTTCGAAAACGCATCGGTGTCGATGGTTTTTATATTTCTGTTGTCGTCGGAGAATGCTTTTACAAAATCAGCATCGAATTTAGCATTGTCCTTCTCAACTTTGTTTTTAGTCAAAGAAAAAGTATTTGAGAAATCAGTGTCGAAGCTTTTCGTGAATGAATTTTTACGTGATAGTACCGAGCTTGTCCCGTAACTAAATGGATCCATATTGCCAGCCGTTGTTTCACTCTTATTCGCATTATGATCTTCTGCATCATCGGCGAAAGGATCCGGTATGTTAAAGGGATCTTCATAACGATAGTCTCTGAAGGGATCTTCCGTAAAGTCGGGCAGCTTTGGAGTTACCGTTGATACTGTATGCGTTCTGCTGGTTGGTCTGGGTGGTGCCGTTCGATTCACTGTTGGTTCCGGCTGAAGCAGGTTTTTTTCAGTGGTCAATTTTCGTTTACTGAAAAGGTAGAAAGAATAGCGCAAAAACCGCTGGTTATCGTCAGACTGCTGGACCATACATGGCTGCTGTTGAGTACTAGAATACATTGAATTGCAAGCGAATCAAAATATTCGAGTTAATTCGCTTCAATTTCGTTATAATATAAAACGTTAACAGTGAAAGTTTATCAACTTGTAATAGATTTCAAACGAAAAAACAAAAAAAAAAGAACAACAAATGATAAATACAAATAAAATGATAGATGCTTTTTAAATAATTCGCAAATAAATAAACATGTTTTAAAAGATTCTATAGATATTCAAATAGTCGAATCAACTCGAATATTTTATTTAAATATGAATAATTAAAAAATTGCCATGCAATAGTATAAAATGAAAATATAATACTGGAACAAAGAGAACAAATGAATTAATTTGTAGACAGCATGCTCCAGGAGTCAGATCAATGAATAAACTGAAAATTGTGCAGCTTCTACCTAAATATAAAACAAAAAATATAATTAATCTTTTTTTTGATATAAATGTATTTTACAAAATTATAATATATTGAAATGACGCATTATGTTGTGATATTAAGTATCTTGCATTTTAGAAATCCGAACTGAAAATTACATCACTGCTTAAATAATATTTTACTTATGTAAGTCATATCAATATATTTCATTTTTTGTTAAAAATAGCTGTATTTAAAACATAAAATAACAATATATAACATACTAAACATTGATAAAATTGAGGAAGGAGAGGATATGCCCAGGACGACATATAGGAACACTTAAACAAAAAAAAAAAAAAAGGGAAATTGGTTATTACAATCTAAAGTGATAAAAGAATGATTCTTCTACTAATAAAACTAATAAAATAAGAGCATAATTTTCAACGATATTGTACCATACTTCAAAACATGAAAATACATACCTTGGAATCAAAATTACTAAAATCTGCAAATCCAGTAGACGTATTAAAATTATTGCTATTATTGTTGTCCATAATTCCCTGTTGAGCAGAAAAAGCATTTGCAAATGGATCAGGTGTAGGAGAAGGTGTAGGCGGTGCTGGTGCTGCTCGTAGAGGACCAGTAGGTCCTTGAGCCGGTCGTGGAGGTGCTGGTCGTGGTGGTGGTTGTTTCGCTTTTTTAGGAGGAAGAGCAGGACTAGGACTTTCTGGACGAGGTGGTGCATGAAGATTTGCAAACGGATCATCTCCAAATGGATCTTTTGTCGCCTAAAAAAAGAAAATGAAGAAAAAAAGAATTAATAAATAAATCAAATAATAGTTATTTTATTTATTATTCCTGTGATAACTTACTGCTGTTGCAGCAGTGATTTTAGTATCAGTTCTTTTTCCATCTCCAAATGGATCAAATGGATCTTGTTTTACAGCATTGCTCTCATCAAATGCGCTAAATGGGTCAGATGTGAATCCTCCTCCTCCTCCTCCTTCTCCTCCTCCTCCTCCTCCTCCTCCTCCTCCTCCTCCACCTCCACCCCCCCCTCCTCCCCGTAATCGTAAATATTAAATTAGAAATTATACAAATAACACGGATAATTTTTTTATAAAAAGATCTTACAGTAGTACTTGGAGATGAAAATGCACTTCCAAATGGGTCTGGTGTTGATGCATTATTAAATGCTTCTGCAAAAGGATCTTGTTCAAACCCGTCCAATGTCGTTCCATTTGCATTAGTGAATGAAATGTTTTTCTTGTTCTTATCTTCTTCAGTTGTTTTTTCATATCTATTGTGAATTTTACGTAGGAATAATGAATTAACACTGTTATAAAAATAATTAGGAAATGTGTATTAAATACATACTCTAAATTTTCAATTTCGGGATTAAATTGCAGACTAGTATCAGGTACAAGAGTGGCATCCCCAGCTGCAAGTGCAGAATCATAGAGCGCAATTGCATCACTCATTTGCCGTTGTTGTTCTTGTAAGTGAGTGATCTTTGCTTTCGCTTGACAAATTTGCAATTGAGTGTCCTGCAAATTTTTCGTGAGTTCATTTAATTGGTCCCTGCTTTTATTTTGTTGCTGTTCTAATTGCTGTTCTTCTTGTTTCAAGCCTTCTAATTCTTGTCGTTTAAAATTCAATTCTTCTTCTTGAGCACGCAATACTGATTCCTGCTCTTCTGCTTGTTGACGCAATTTATCAACCTGTTGTTACAATACACACAACAATTAATTTATTATGAACTAAATTTGAAAGCATATTTCTATAATATGTTAATTATATTTATACAGAAACACAGACGTATATATAACTTATGGATTGTATATGTGTATTTAAATATGTAACTTAATAAAATTTATTATCTTAATAAATATATTAATCACATATTATTAATATACAACATATAATATTATATTTATATTATAAATTTAATTATTTGTAAATATTGATTTTGAATGTGAGAAAGTATTATATACAATTATACAAATTTAAGACTCAAATCTGAATTAAATAATTGTATTTTTATCAATTCTAGGTAAAATGAAATTTAATACATAGATTTACATAAAATATAAAATTAAAACATAATTTTTGTAATTTTTACTAGACTGGAGTCTCAAACGAAGTTATAAGCAAGTATAATCTTTTTGGTTGCAATCTATGCTACTAGTTTATCATGCAATGCAGCAAAGCACTAGCACTATGCAAATGTAACAAAAACAAATAAAGCCTTTTCCATAATATAATAAATAAATAAATAAATATATATAGATATATATTACATAATTAGTTTATATATTTATATTTTTTACATACTGTTATATGGATTTAGATAAAGTTCCATGTAATTATTTTCTGCACATAATTAATATGTGAAATGAAGTCATAAAACATTTATCTTAAATTTTCGTAATTTTATTATTACTATTATAAAAAATTGTTGTAATGTAATAGTATTATAGTATTCAATGAAGTTAGAGATGCTAACGAATTGTAATTACTATGTTGTAGAAGTGAGAAATAAAATCTGTATACCGCAATCGTACCTGCCCTTTATTAAAAGTAGAAATTTTTGATATACCTTTTTTTGTTCTTCACGTATCTTCTGCTCGATCTCACTCAAATCTTTATCTACTTCTGTTTTCTATAAGCCAAACATAATAAAACTAAATCATAATGAAAGAACTAAACATATTATAAAATAAAATAGCAAATAAGTTGATATATATTTTTTAATATGAAATATAAATTATATTTAAATAAAAAGAAATAACTTAAAAAATCATAAATAAATTAATTAATATATATATGAAAAAATAATTATATAATATTAAATATAATAACTTGAAATATTGCTCATAACTTATATCATAAAATATAAAAGTCACTAAAATAATACATTAAATACATTTCACTTATTATATTACATTTCATCGTACCTCTTTCCAATCCTTTACTATTTTAAGATGTATGATAATGTAATAATATGCATTGTTAAATTATATTATTAAACCTTAATTTATATCAAATAATAATTTCTATGTCACAAAAATTATAGTACACTTAATTATTTACACATCTTAATAAAAGCATTATGTACAATTCACAAATCCATTTCTAATATCATGTGAAAGCAAAGCTGTACATTCAACAAGCAGATCATCTAAACATATTAAACTAAAATTTTATTTACCTGAGCTTTTAAATCATTCAATCGCTTTTGTGCTTCACCTTTCTGATTTTCTAATTGCTTTAATGTAGCAGCAAGTGTATCCAGTTCACTCTGCAAACTTTTAATTTCACCATTTTTTATCTTGATATCAGCTTCCTTTTGTGCTATATCTTGTTCCATACTTTGCCTTTCTTTTACAAGTTCTGCTATATCTTTACTTATCATGTCCAATTCTGGATTTGAATAACCAGAAACATTATTGTTCTCCTAAAAATTAAAATATTGTATTGAAAATAAAACGAAAAATACAAATGAATTCTGTGAAAAATGATGATTTATATATGCAATGACAAATATTTTATAAATGATAGGAATATAAAAATTAATATACATTAAATCGAAATTTAAATATCATCTAAAATTCGAAAATATTTACATTTGTACAATTTCAAATGTTTAAAAACTAAACATTTTAAATAATTTTAAACAATTTTAAAATATCTTTTATTGATATAATCATTTACAATAATTAAAATGCTACATCGTTTATAGAAAACTACTGAATAATTTAAACTCAACACAATTATTACAGAAAGTTAACTTTTTCTTGCTATTATTCATTAAAGAAATCATTTTCTGAAGTTTTCCAATGAATTATACATTCAATATTAAATTAGTTTATATTGGTATAAAAGTATTATCATTTAGTGTGTTCATTACGAATTCTTCTATATATTTGCGACGAGTTTTAGGCTTGATTTTTTCAGGATCATCGGTACCACATAGAGATTGTAATTTTGCTTTTCTTGCTTCCGTTCGTAGTTGTTTTGCAAATATAACATTTTTTGCTTTTTGTCTTTCGAAGGCAACTATTGGTGAAATATTATTTATTATAAGAGGTGCAACTTTTATACAATCTGCCATATTCGAATGATTTTTCTTTTTACATAATGAACATATTGCCAATGCATTTAAATTGTATTTACCTCCTTTTGACATATTTCTTGATTTTAGTGTAAAGAAATGAATTTCAAATAAATAAAAAATTGAAAATCATATGTCAAGTTCCATAAAAAATATAAATTAAACAGATATGCTGTTAAGATTACTATTAAATGTTTATTATTTACTAAATATAATGTCTAATTTTATAATAGGAATGAATTTATGGAAAAAATACGATGAGCTTCGTAAAAAAATAAATAAAAAATTGAATAAACAAAAAGGTAATAATTTTTGCCATCTTTTAGCAAAAATGTAATGGTCTTTTATTTTATATGAAGAGAGTGAACTTCTCCTTGATGTTAATGAATATGAATATCCAAGAGCAAATGAAACACTTAGAAAGATACACAAAGAATTGTGGCAGGAATATTATGAATGCTTAGAAAAGACATATAACAAAATTGGATCAGAAAAGATAATGTATCCAATAGCGTTTGAAGCTCTAAAAGGAACATTAATCAAGTGTGATAAAAACATTTTTGTTACTCATGACATTTTTATTACTTATTTTTTAATAAAACGATTATATCAATTTTAGATTAAAATGTCAAATATGTATCTCTCCAATAGAGATATATACTAGTGAAGATATAGAATGGTATTTCAATAATACTTTTAGTAATGAAACAAATAAACCTATAGATGAATCAGATAATGTATTCATTTCACCAGAAGACAGATCATTAATAATACATGACATTAAGGTATAATTTAATAAATAAACCTCTTTTATCATAATAATGTAGAAGTCTTTACAGTCTGAACAAGCTGGACAATACTGGTGTAAATATGGAGATACATTATCAATATATTATTATATATCCATTGATACCGATCTTAAAGGAGTAAAAACTGTATATCCTGCCACAGCACCCAATATGCCCCATGCAATATCACCGAAAGTTATATCAGAATATAATTTAAATATTTATACAACATGGACTAAATGGTCTCTCTGTTCCAAATGTAATGCAGTTGGTAAAAAAGTTCGGTATGGATACTGTACTCTTTCTTCACGTGAAAATGTCCTCAAGGAAAATAAAATAAAAGAAAAACAATTTCAAGGTTATAAACAACAAAGTATACTTTCTTTCTGTACTACGCATCACTTGCTTTAAGATTTTAAAATATCACGTATAATATGATGTATAATATTTAGCTACAGAAAACGAACAAAATGAAACAATGGAAACTACAATTCAAAATCAAATTATAGATAAAAGTGTGAACGATAAAATCAAAATAGTTTTACGTGTATTTAGAAATAAAATACCTTGTAAAAATAAATATTTGCCAAAAGCTTTGAATATTTCGGATATTAAAGATAGAAAAACAGAAATTATGGTGCGCTATTGCAAGGTATTATTAAATATTATGCAATGAAAATATTTCATGTAATGTTCAATATCTGATATATACAACTAAATTAAACAAATGCCATGTAGATAAAGTGTCCACAAGATGTAATCTTTGAAGTACGAGATAAGAAGGGAAATGTGCTTGAAAGTGCAAATAACAGTGCTGGTATATATTCTATGGTTCAAGGAATGCCCACTCCATCACCGCCAGTTATACGTACGACGATTTATCAAAAATATGATAAAAGAGCAGTTCTTATATGCCCAGGGTAAAATAACATATTAAAAATTAAAAATTAAAGAATTATGTTCACATTTTTTTCAAACTTTTCAGAAATTTAAATATCAATATACCAATTACTTGGAAAGTGGATGATAAAATTTTAAATCCATCTATTATTGAAGATCAATCTGAAGGAAGAATTTATTTTAATTCACAAATGCATATAATTTTCAAATCATTAAAATTTCAAGATACAAATATCTATAGGTAAATAGTAATCTATAGGTAAATAGTAATTGCTTCAAATTGAATTAAATAATATTTACAATTACAATTCACAATTATCTTGTTTATAGTTGTTGGCAAAGAAATGAAATCGTTGGTGTAATAAAATTAAATGTAACTGGAGAAATAGAATTACAAACAAATTATAGTGTAATTATGGTTGGTGGAATGTTAATAATTATTGTATTTATGATTGTGTTTTGGAGAGCATTTCACGGTCGTAAACGTTATACAATACATTGACTGTATTGTGCACTGTCATATTTAAAACAAAGCAATAACATCTCAAAAGAAACATAAATGACTAAGGAAAAAGAAATTATTTGAATATTTACCACAACAGACTCGGATGGTTTTCGCATAGAAGGTGGTATCATATCAGAACTCAAAGTTGCAGGTGGTTCAACACCTCTAAGTTTTTGTTTAATAAGCCACATGGCTAAAGCAAATTGTTCTTTATTTAACTTCCCACTTTGACATGTGTCACAAAGACTCCTGAAAAATAAATAAGTATAAATAAATAAGAATTTTTTCTTTTAATTAAAATTAACAAACAATATAACCATGATACATATGTACCATATATGAGCTAATACAGTCTGTGGAAGTCCACTTTGAAGGAAGACATCTTTGATTTCAATACCTGAGACATACCCATCCATATCTAGATCAGCTTGCAAAAATAATTTGTCTGCTGCTATTTGATCTTCAGATGAAACTACCCACTGAACATTCGTTTATATTATGTTTTTATATCAGAGTTAGAATTTTATAATTTTAATTTTACAATTAAGATACCTTTATCGTATCCAAACCAGCCATACTCTTTACTGAAGGTACATTAGGTAAAGGTGGAATAGGTGGTGGTACTGTTGTAATTACACTCATTGGTGCAGGAGATTTTGGTACTGGTGTTGTAGAATCTTTCCTTTTTCCTGGTGGCATTAACTCTGGTGGAAGTACACTTGGTATAGCATATTTCTCTAAAGCTTTATACACTAAATGCACAGCCTGTGTTAAATAAATAATACATACAATACAAATTACATTATAGAGATAAAAAGCTTAATTTATTGAGTATTTTGAATGCCATATAGCTAGTTTACTTACAACAACAAATTCATGTCTATCCAGCATACCATCTTTATCCATATCTGCAAGATCCCAAATCTTTCCAAGTGTATCCAAAGGAAGTTTACTATCCATAAGAACATCTTTCACTTTATTCCCAGGTATATATCCATTCGAAGGTTGCAAGCTGTCAAAAAGTTGGTCATATTTGGCTCTTTCTGAAGGTTTAATAGACCAATCTCCATTACTAACAGATGTTATTACTGGTACAGTATTTACTATAGTTTTCTGTGGTATTACAGGAATATCACCCTAAAAATAAATAACAATTGAAAGTAAAATAATTTATTTTATGTATTAAATAATATAACAGTTTACCATTTTTGGAGGTGGCAATTCTATATTTAAATTTGACATACTAAGGTCTCTTCCTGCTTGGGCCAATGCACAAAGTTTTAGAGCAACAAAAAGACCAGACTTGTCTAATGATCCACGAGATTGTGGATCTGCCATATCCCATATCTTACTTAATACAACATCACTCAGCTGGGATTTCTTAAGAAATCTCGCAGCTTCCATCGCACCAATTCGTCCATATCCATTTGGGTCCACCTTTAAATATAATTAATCTTGTTATTCTTGTAACAATATAATCAAGTGTAAATTTATAAACATATAAGAAATTATGAAGATACATAAAACTATACCTGATTATAATAAGCTTCATATATAGCAGTATGGCTTCCAGCCACCTGGATAAAAACAAATTTATTGTATATATTCTTATTAAATTATAAATCGTTAATTTTAACACTATGCATAAATAATTAAATAACATAAATTTTAATCGCCAGAAATGTATAATATTCTAACATCAATAAATATGTGAATAAAAGTTTCCCATTACTATCTTTTACGATATATTAATTGTGACAATTTTATTAAGAAGTTCGTCAAGAAATATATCAAGAAAATAATGTATTTATTGTAGATTTATCGGCAGATTATTTGTACTGTCAAAGAAGTTCAAGTAATCGACGATACAAGAACGATTGTATTCAGAATACGTGTAGCAAAAGATGGTACTGTTCTGCACGAAAGAAAGAGGAGTTTTTTAAAAAATCTAGTCAACAATAGATCTAGTACATCGAATATTATAGTCTGATAAAGTTATAAAAATTATAATATACCTGCGTGGGTGATGGCAGGGCGGCCATACTTGCATTGAACACTGTCTTAACCAATCAGACTATGAATCGATAGTATGTCATATTAACTATTTTACTTAACATTTTGTGGAAGAATTTTTATTGTCGATGATATGCACTAACAAAACACAGAACGATGATTATACTTTTTCTGTCAAATTAGTCAGACGAACAAAACAAAGTAAATGAAATTTATCAACAATACGAAGCACTTCTACCGCTTGTAGCGCTCGATTGCCGTCTTATATTCTCACATTTCACCTTGTTTTCATTAACCAATAATCATGCAAACTAGACTGTATGCGTACCATGTAAACTTACGACTTGAATTGAGTATCTACATTCTAGATTTGTACAAGTTTTAGATAAGCGTATATGTACAAAAATGTTTTCATTAATCTTATAATTATAAATTATATTATCATTGACTGTATTAAAATTAATGAAAATATTAAATTTAAAATAAAAAGACAATTTTATTAAATTCGAATTTATTTTTTTACAAAAATGTACATGTAATTTAAACGTAATTAGGGTATAGTTGAGAGTCTTGGAAAAGGATTTTGTTTAGAGATGACTAATTTTTTATGTTGATGAGATATGTAACCTTTAATTTTTCCTTCATATATTAAATTTGCAACAATACACTCTACTTCGTCCATATCTACATCGTCAATTCCTTGCATTTCCAAAGCTGAGAGTAAATCTTGAATGGGAATCTGATGTATATTCAATACTAAGTACACTTTCTTAAATAAATTTCTATATGCTATTATCTTCAATTTTTCCACAATCAAATATATTCCTGCTCCTATAAAAAATGATTCATGTTTTTCCATCACTTTTTCAAGATTGCGTAAATTTCCCCTTTTAACAGCTTCCATTAATTCTCCAAATTCCATTAAGTTATATTTTTCTAATAAGCTGTGTTTAGGCATATATCCTAATAACATTTTTACTGGCACCAGGTAAGTCAGAATTAATCGTTTATTTTTTGAAGATCGTTTATGACAATGTTCAAAGACATAAGTAAGATGTTCATCAGCTACAAAATGAGAAAAATGATTATTTTGAGAATGATTGAAATGTCAAATTTATTATAAGTATTAAATTTTAATAGTTACCAGCTTTATAATCACTGTCAAACATTGCTTTACGACCCACAAAGAACTTATAAGTTATTTTTTGAGCCAATGTAAAAAGTGCTTTATATGGGGATGATTCTATCGCCCTTATTAAAGGTCTGCACAGATGTAATTTATTTATTCTAAAATAAATTTTTAACAATTGATTAACCAATGTCAACATTCCCCATCTTTTTGTATCATCTTCCGAACTACGATTATCACAAGCACACACTCGGAAACACCCCATTAAACAATCTGCACATTTTTCTAAAATTTCACCAGGCTTCATATTCTTGCTAGTTTTTGTATTTTCAACACAAACTGCTAATAATCGTAGCTCTAAACACATTGTATTCATAACAGGTAACATCCAATTTTCTTCTTTTTGCATTTGAAGAATCTTTGTCAAAGATTGAACTGCAGAACTTTGGTAATTATACATAGACAATGGATCATCTTTGTTCATTGCTACTATAGCTCTAAGGACACAAATATTATATTTGATTAAATGGCATTTAGAATAATAATAGTAATAATACAACAATGTTTATTATAATTAATTACTTCAAGTGGTAAAGTACTAAGTCATCAAGAGGAGCAGATAAATGTTCCATTGCTTTTGTTATTGCAGTTTCAGATCCAATTTGTGAAATTGAGACATGATCATGTCGTAAAGACAATAAATTCTTAAATAAAAAGATTACATGAAGTTTATATGTAAAATTTGTATGTACATAAATCTATACTTTCATATAAGCATATATAATTTACCGATAAGGGTCTACCCTCCTGATTCAACCACACACGTCTGATCTGTAAACATGCATATAACCTCAAAATAAATGTTTCCTTTAATTAATGCAAATTATATATTATTACCTGCATTATGTACGAATCCATTGTATGCATAATTTTATATATAAAATTCTGAAAATCGCTTTATTTTTAAAACTGGTTACATTTTATAACATCACCAATTACAAATTATGTAGCTTAAATACAGTTAAATTTGTAGATGTCTCAATTATTTAATATTATTCAATAAAATGAGAAAGAAAACATTTCATAAATGGAAAAAAACCTATTAAAAATATATATGGAAGTAATTATTTTATACACAGATAAATAAATCTTAGCAATATATCAACACATATACATAAACATAATACTGCAAGATTACACTGAACTCGACTAGTGAGTCAGTCGAGGTAAACAAAATGGTCACATGATGCATGTATGCAGTAACTTCAAGTATCAGCTTGTAGTTGGTGAATTATGATTTTCAGGGATATTTATATCATTATAGAAACTCTTCTAATTATGAGACTGAATATGATACATTAAACGGTAATAAAAAAATTTGATTAATCTTCAGCGAACATATCTGATTTTACTACTTCTATTTTATAATATATCAAGATTTAAATTTCGATTCACGTGGTTTTATTTATTTCTTCTAGATCAATCAGAGTACGTTCCTAGATTCTAAAGGAAAACATATTTCGATATTAATAAAATCTTATCATGCCACTTGTTCCACATACAATTAATTAGATTAATAAAAGAATATATAGATAAGTTTTAACTATATATGTAACTATATGAAATTGCATTATTAGATTTCACACTAAATGAAAGTACATTTTCTTTTACGTCTAACACGTACATTAAACATTTAGATAAAACAAACAATGTGCAATGTAACAATTATTACAAATTCAATAGCATAATTGATAATAAATTTACATTCGTTGTAAAAATCTAGAGAATTTGTGATTTATTGGTTAACAGGCCTAAGCGTTCTAGTATAAAATTGGCCAGCCGTATGGAACCCGATAAAGTATAGAGGCGGTGGTGCTAAGTTAGGGAGGGGGGTCCGCGGTCACGTGACCGAGCTGCGTTTTGAGCGCACTAACCAGGTACGAGTAAATTCGTTGTTTTTTTCGTGGTTTTTCGCGCGCCACGGCCGAAAAAGCCGAGGCGTCGTGAATTTCGCTTGTTTCTGACTCCAGACGTGTCCTCTGAGTACGCAAACAACGCTTATAATAACTGTGAGTTACTTGCAAATACTTTGACTCGATCGTCTTACGGAGATCTATCGATGCTCCACCGCGGCGATGGTTGACAAGCCTTCCTCGTAAAACCAGAAATGGCGTCTACCGTGCACATGGTCTGCGGAAAATATCGTACATCAACGTCGTAGTACCGATTCAGAAGTATAACAAATCCTACACGGCCGATTTCTTTGTCGTCCATTTGAAGAATTTTTACAACTCACAAACAACAACGCAACGGACAAGGTGTTTTTTGTGATGCGCCCGATAATCCTTCTTCGTCATATTCTCACCGCGCACGTCAAAATTTGTCTCTTTTATTTTTTTTCTTTTTTTCCTCTCCTGTTGCCTCATTGTCTTTTGAAATCTTATGTTGCAGAAAAATGCGCCACACTCTTCGGTGTTCTCGGGTGAATTTAATCGTTTTGTATCGAACGACATGATCCTTGGAAATCTTGCAAAATTTGTGGACAAGGTTTAGATCATTCTGCATATCGCCCTGACGCTTAGTTATTCGTTCTTCTTCTAGACAATCGTTTGAGGAAAAACGTGACTATTTTAAGAGACACTTGTTAAGTCGCTTGATTTTGTATTTATCGTCGTTAGTCGACCCTAACCTTTCCATCGTTGCTTAAGAGGTAGAAGTGAAACTGTATTTCGCAGACGTTTATTTAATCGATTGTGTACTATTAATTGTTCATATACGTTTTCATAATTATGATTTGATATTATGCAAGACATATTTTATAATCATAAAAATGTCTTCTAAATGTGGATTGTTTTTTTTATTTAGGTTATTTTCAAAATCCATATTTGTGGTATAATTGTTAGTATCATGGATAACGAAGATATCTTAAAAATCACAGAACTCTATAAGATATATTTGACTCTTTTGTTACTAATTTTTACAAAATCTATAGTTTTACTGAATATTAATATGTGTGATAATCATGGTTATACAATCTATGATATCTGAAAATAATATACATGCAAGTGCATAATTTATAATTGCATCTTTTTATAAGTATTAATTTGTGAATTATTTATACTTATATTGTGTTTATACATTTAATCATATATCTTGATATAAAATTAACATTTCATTGTATTGTTCCAAATATTGTATTAATTAATTTCTGTTCAGAAAAAATGATACTAATCTTTAAATTGTATTATTCATTTGAAAATTGATTTTGGATCAGTTTTTTAACTTCTTAATTAATTATATTATGTAATTTCATGTATTGTTTCATAAGATTGTTTCATAAGATTTTGTTACTTCTAAAAAAATTAACTATTTTAAAAATATGTGTGTTATTTATAATATTATAAGTTACATTTTATCATCTGAAATTAATATTTTTGTGTAGTGTTTATAACTTAATCACCATTAGCAAAAAATAACTAATTACAATGTGTAATTTTGTCATATATTATGAGAATAATATTGTGAGAATAATAATAATTTAGGTATTTGCAGATATCACTGTTGATTTTACAATCAATGTTAAACAGTTTTAATGTAAAATTTATAAAAGAATTATATATAGCTTTGTTATTTTGCAATGTTATACATTGCAATAAAATACCATGTTTTTCATTTCTTATACTTGGTTAATAAAACATGTGTAAAATAATAGATATATTTATGATTTATTTAATTATTTTCAACATGTCATATTAGATATACACAATTAATTGTTTCTTTTGTTACAGACTGTAAATAGAGAGTGTATATAGTGTGATAGGTGAGTGATATAGGTGTGTGGATTTTAGTTGACAATGAGCTCAAGCAACAAATCGGTGTCCTCTGGGGGAAGAGGCACCAATAAAAATAAATCATCACAACAACATGGAAAATCGGATCATCATCAAACTAAATCATCGGATTCAATTAAGCATGAAAAATCACAGGTCAGTATATATATTTCATTATTTTATTATTATTATAAAAAAGTATTTGCAACGTATGCATTTTTTATTTTGTATTAATACTTCATTAAAAACTATGGCATTGTAGCCAAACACTGTTCAGATGCGGCATGCACAAATCATTGACACTAGAATGGGTAGTGGTGAAGATCCTGTTTTGAAGGAACGCATTAAGCAAGTTATGGACATGACTAGACGATCCGAAGATGAAGTTGTTATGGCTTTACATGATAGTGATGGAGACTTGGATCGTGCTGTTAATGATCTTTTGGAAGGAGTGAAAACAGAATGGGAAGTGAAAAAAAAGAAGCCTCGACAACCTAGTGGTTCAAAACAAAATATGGATACCTCTGGTGGTCAAGATGAAGGTGGTGATTGGGATGAAAGACGCAATCAACGAGGAGGTGGCCCTCCACGTATGCGAGGTCGTGCTAATCATGATAATCGTGGATGTATGTTAAGAAAAATATTATACATTTTATTACCTATTTATATACATTATTGATATCATATATCTAATTTTTAATTTAGGGCGCGGTCGAGAAAACAAAGAGAATGAAAGAAATATGGAGGATGGTGTTCGTGATGGAAGTTACAGTGGTAACAGAAGAGGAAGAGGTGGTCCAGGAAGACCAGGACGAGGAGGAAGAGGTGGAGGGAGAGGACTTGGTTCACGAACATTTGCCAATCGTAATGATCCATCTTCTACTTCATCTGCTCATAGCTTCAATCGATCAATTGATACATGGACAGGAAATGAAGAACAACAACAAACTTCTCAAGAACCAAAGATGGGTAAGTTTTTTCGTAAATTTTAATTATTTAAATTTTATTTAAACTTATTATTTCACGTGGTGAAAATGTGTGGATAGATGCATGGAATAATTTGGATTCTGCAGAAGACTGGGATAATGAGGAGTATACAGGTTCATTGGCAGATACGAAAGTTTTTACGCCGAGCACGTCTGTAGCAGAACCTACATCAGCTATAGAAGAACCAAAAACTCAAGATCTGCAACCAGTGCAATCTAACCAGACTGTAAATTTATCATTACTGCAACAGGAAGTACGTAACATTGTTTTTTATGCTACTTTTATCTACTACATATAATAAAAAATATTCTTTTGTATACGTATAAGGAATTACCAAAATTATCGGAGATACCACCAATACAACAGCAAACTTTAATTCAACAAACTCAGCAACAACAACCTATATTGAGCTTACCCACGATGCAGTTATCGCAACAACCAAATGCTATAAGCGGTGGAGTATTAACAGCTGCTCAAACACAATATCTAACACAACTCACCCAACAAACAAGTGAAAATTTGAAAGCTGCTGGACAAAATACATTCTCTACATCGATATCCAGTCAGGTAGCTAAATAACATATATACAAACTATTTTATGATATAGTATGCAAATTAGAATATAGTTGTATTTCTTGTTTAATATTTCTTCTGTATATCAGCCTCAGAGGCAGACGAAGCAACGTCCAAGGGTGCCACCACCATCAAAAATACCATCTACTGCTGTAGAAATGCCCGGAGATGCTGTTAATAGTGGGATTGGATTTCTTGATGTCCAATTTGGTGCACTTGAATTTGGTAGCGATTCAAGCTCTCTTGATGGGTCTGCAAATGAAAAGTACAATTCAGCTAATAATACAATAGCTGGTGTAGATGTGTCTTCTACTACAAATACTGTAAACACTGCCAATACAAATAGCTCTTTGGACATCGAAACAACGCAACCATCATCAACAACACCTTTCAATACTACTTCTCAAATGGTTATTTTATTATATTGAAATATTAGTAAAAATACTTATTACTTTGATCATTACGAATTATTGAGTGATTCTATTATTTATTTACAAATGTGATTCTATTATTTATTTACAGTTATCAAATAGTGACAACTTACCGGTATCAAGCGAACATTCGATAAACGCTCAAACATTTACTGCTCGTGGTAGTAGTACTGGACAAACTTTAGATATAACTAAACAAGATTTCACTTCTCAAGTATCACCAGGAAATGCACCTCCTTATGGTACAACTACAACTTACCAGTCTCAAAAGTCATCATTTCAAGCACCTACAGCGACTCCGAGCACTTACAATGCATATTCTACAAATGCTCAATCTGCTCAATCATCTTTTCAAACTGCGTCTGGCACGAGTGCTAATAGTTACTCTGCAACAGCGACTGTTTCACAAGCAAGTTATAATTCATCATCATTTCCTCAATCTAATACATCAACCTTTAGTCAAGCTTCTCCTTCTGCATCTGCGTCAGCAACTTCGGGTTATAATC